ACTCAATCTAATATAATCATATATAATCAATATCAATATAAAATCTAATATAGACATATATAACTCAATCTAATATAATCATATATAATCTAATATCAATATATTATCTAATATAGACATATATAACTCAATCTAATATAATCATATATAATCTAATATCAATATATAATCTAATATAGACATATATAACTCAATCTAATATAATCATATATAATCTAATATCAATATATAATCTAATATAGACATATATAACTCAATCTAATATAATCATATATAATCTAATATCAATATATAATCTAATATAGACATATAAACTCAATCTAATATAATCAAATAATCTAATAAAAAAATCTAATATAGACATATATAACTCAATCTAATATAAAAAAATAAAAAAATCCCTAATTCCACAAACTCTAACCCTCATAGCTAAGCTCTTCCATACCACGTATATTTGGGCGAACCAATCAAATTCCCTTCGTGTTCTACTAGCTAGAAGGAAATTCCACTTGAACAGCTTTCTGCAAAGAGTGGAACCAACTCCCAAATGCTTTCCCGATCACCACAATCTAAAACTTCTTCAAGTCTAGAGTTAACTGTTATATTTCCGAGATGTCCTCATAAACTGCGCCTGTTCCTCCTACCCTTACCACTCACATATCAACGTTTTTCAGTCACCCTCTAACTTGAGTGGCTCTTGGGCCATATATAGTGTGAACGATAAAATATTAGCTTGAGAAACAAATTTAATAACGAATGTATTATCATAACTAATAAACATGCGTGGCTGGTTAAAATAAATTTGGAACACACAGATCTGACGTTTTCTGCATGACAGTGGCAGCGTACATGGTGGATTAAAGATGTTGTTCGCTTCCATAATAACACAAGGCCGCATACAGCAAGGATAACAAATAAAACAATTTTGGAAATCGGTTGGTCTGTTCTATCCTACCCTCTGATCTTGTACCAACCAATTATGATCATTTTTGATCACGCTTCGACAAAGAAGAATTCTGTAACGAAATCTCACTTCATCGGATTTTTTTCACATTTGGCTTCATGCTCACAAAGTAACAAAATTGAAAGATAAACGTCAGATAGAAAAATAAGAACTTGGACCCTGTTTTCCATATTATATGCAGATGTTTTATTCAGGACTTCACCTGCTCGCGTGAGTGGGTAGGGAGATTATATTGGACAATGTTATGTGGAACCCTTCCTCTTACTAAACATCTCCAGCCAAAGGTGGACTAGAACTAACTCCGATCACAAGCATGACGGCTAATATAGACCAGATACATCGGTTTTGTTGCCACTTGATCTAAAAAAACTCTCATCCACTCCTTTACTTTCCCGTTCCCGCTTAGAAAACTGGATTTAAAAACCAGAACCACTTGTGATCTAGACAAAACCATACATTTTTCTACATTGGTGTCTATAGTAGAACCGCAAATCATTGCAAATTATGTTAAATATATAACTGAATAAAATGTAATTATATTTTAATTTTATAACGAAAACGGAAATTACTTATAACTCAAGCTAATACATAATTATAATGGATATTTTTGAATTTCTATGAGGAAATCTTTTTCCTTTCGTAATGGATATCGGCTTGGATTGACAAAACGGAGGTCCGAGTTCGAATTCCATTCGAGTTTATTGCATTCACGACTCCTTGGGAAAGGTATCAATCCCTCTCTTCCCCCGAGCTATGGGTAAAATAGGACAGACTGCGCCCTATAATATGGGTTGGCAACCAGTCTAGGTGAAGGAAGCAATGAATTCAAACCACCTTCTGTCTGCCTATTTAATTTCTGAGAAAAGGGACTGTACAAAAAGAATCGGCAAGCCTTTGCACTATTCTGCTTTGAATGTCAGCATGAACCACAATTGTGAGATATGGGTGGGTGAAGGGATCCCCACAGTGGTCCAAATGGCGCTGAATAAAATGATGACGATGAGACAGAACGAACGACAAAGAAAATAAGGAAAAATTATTGTAAATTTGAATACTTACAATATTCGGACCGTTATCCTCGTCTTCATTGCCATATTCATATATTATATTTCGAACCGAATCCTTTATTAGGTTTATAAGTCCCCAAAATTCATACACAGATGTCCTCAATGTCACATGGTCCAGACGTTAATTAGATCTAGTGACTAGACCCAAAGAGTTGTGAGTTCAATACCAGGATACAGCATTGGCGAACCAAAACTTGGTTAAAGGGAAATAACTGAGACATTCGGAAGAAGCATGACACGTGGAACTAGAACAATCTACCTCGGTGGACGAAATAAAGGGTTCGGTTGAAATTCTAATCACCCGAAGAAGGCCGGAGCGTACAACGGCCAAAACGTTGTGTATATAGCAACGAAGATGAGGATAACAGTCCGAATAATGTAAGTAATCATAATACCTCAACTCAGAGATATAGACAGATATGTAAATTTGAACATGCGTTTTTTTTTTGTTTTAAATTTATATTTTCATTCATAAACATTTTGATTTACTCATATCTTCCTCCCGTTAGTTTAAGGTAACATCTTTTTTTCTTCCTATATCTAACTTATAATTATTAAATATCATTTTGAAAAGTGAAAGATTCACAGGAATATTCCGTGGAAAGTATCCGAGGTTTCATCTGAAATAAAGAAAACATAAGCTTTGCTTTTTAGAAGAATAAAATTGATAAACAAATGCGGATATTATTTATGACTCAAACTCATAACAACTAAGTTTGTTGATTGTTTTTTTTTTACGGCTTATCAACCTTTTGCAGATTGTGCTACCATGTGATACAACCGGAAAGCCCATAAGAGCTAAGAAGAAAAATTTAAAAAAAATCAATCACTTTTATAATTTGGGCTGCGATTTCAGCACGGAAGGAAACCACTGAGGGTTTGTTAGACGACGCAAACAGCTGTTTCCAAAGATTCTGTGTTATTAACAACAATGCTTTGATATAGAAAAACTTTCTCTGATGAATTTTTAGACATCGTTGAAAACCTTTTTCACATCAAAAGCTTCGGAATTTTACTCAAAAGGTATCATTGCAAATAATGGTGAAAAAAAAATAACTGAATAAAAATGTAATCGTCCATTTTGAAGTTTATAAACAAAAACAGAAATTATTTGACTAAACATAATGTTATTCTGTACATACGAGGTATGATCAAAATGTATTGGTACTGTTACTATGGTAACGGAGTCAAAGTACGCAGAGTAAAGCCGCTTGGTACAGATTGACCGTGAATTCTGTCGCACATACACCAGAGATTCTCAACCAGTGAGAATCCCACCCCCATCCCCAAAGGGGAATTTCAGGGTTTCAAAATTGAGACAACAGATTGGTAGACACAAAACGTTAACTTTCGAAATCCTTAGGCTGCACAACATGCAATCTGTATCCGTCCGCGCAACTGAGACGTCATGCTGAATTTTCTTTCCGCGAGCTTTTGGGTTTTTTGCCACTAAAAAAATAATCCCTGTAAATGTTTATGTACTAATAGGGAAAAGAATGAAGATTTTTTTAATAATATATACATATTATTTGGAACGTACCTCTTGAAATTGACAACCTTGCAAAAGGGGGGGATTACATTCTGACATGGTGAAAAGGTTGCATCAGGCAAATTAGGTTGAGAACCGCTGCATTTAGTTATAACATTCTCGCTCAAGCCCGTTATTTATGCAATGCTTGGAAGGAAAGTGTGTAGAGTGTGGTCGTCTCACCCCCACCATAGAGGGTCCATTAGTGATCATAGATTGTGCAGCAGTTTTTAGTTAAGACAACATCCCGCAGGTCCGACAACAATCATATTCCCCAGATCTTGCTACTTGTGACTTTTTACTCTTTTCAAAAATCAAATTTTACTTGAAAGGACAAAGATTTCAAGAAGTCGTAGGCAATCCAAGAGAATGCGACCAAGTAGATGTTAACTATTCTCCAGGGATTCTTCCATCAATAGAAACGATGCTGGACAAAGTGCGTGGATTTCGAAGGGGGCTATTTCGAAGGAGATTAAATGTTGAATTGATATGCGTCTGTAATTTTCTTTTTATAGCAACTGTCTCGATACTTTTTGATCAAACCTCTTATATAAAAACCTACTTAGGTTTAAGATTACGTCTCTGATTACCAGAAAAAAAAGCAAGTTTCTAAAAGTCTATGTTTATTAAAATTCATAGAAATTCTAATTTCAGATCAGGGCACGAAACAGAAAATTTCAGATTTTTTTTTATCTGAAATAAAAAAAATACATAAAGATTAATTTTTGAAAACTGAAGTTGATAGACAAAACGAGACTGATAAACAAAAACGGATATCATTGAGGACTGGATCTCAAATTAATTAAGAAACAAGATAAAAAGTCTCTTGTATAATTTGGGTTGCGATTTCTATACGGAAGTAACGAGTTAGTGTTTGTTAGTTAAAGCAAGGAAATAGAAAATACTTGGACCATTTTCCAACGCTCAATAGATTGAATTATATTAGAGACACTTTAATAATCAGTGTCATCTAAGACTGTAACTGCTACGACATTAACAAAGGTTTCAACTGTAAAGTAAAATAATTCTAAATGCAAATTTTCCCAACCAGCTGTTGCCAGAGCTTTTGCGTCAATAATAACAGAAAGGGCAAACAAAATCCCATACACTCGTTTGATTGTCCATTGTATTTGTTCCCGGCTCTTCTGGCCTCATTCTCTAGAAACTATTTTTTTCGACCGACTCGATTTGTCCTCGAGGAACGACCGATGCTGACACGGGGATCGTGTTGAACTTGCGTCAGTTGGAGACCACCTACGCCCATTCGTAGGACTTGGCTGGTGCGCTTGTATCGTTTGATATTCTTCTCTGTTCCCCCTTTCATTTCCTTTCTGTTCACTGCTACCGACAGTCGGTTTGTGCCGCTGAAATGACTTGCATGCAGGAGAGTCACGATTCGGTAGAGTCACGGCTCTCCAAAACTTCCAATCCGTCGCCGGACTACGGCCATATCATCCCGAAACACCAGTTCCCGTACGATCACTGAGGTTAAGTTAAATCGAGCCTGGTCATTAACTAGATGAGTGACCGCTTAGGAATATCAGGTGCTGTAAGTTTATAGAGATTCTTCTGTTTTTTAAGTTTTTGAGAGACATTTTTTGTTCTTTCCAATGACACCTCTGGTTTCAGGGTCACATTTTTCAGTCCTCTGTTTAAACATTGTTGTGCCATAGTACCTATTCTTTGGTAATGGACTCTCCCATAGATAATAAGAAGTAGCAGTAGCAAGTCTGCAGAACGGTGTTGAGATTCGGACATTTTGAAGTACCAACCATCACAACTAGATTTGCTGCGTCATTGACTATTGTATTCCAAGTTCCTAACGTTTTGTACGACTTATTAGAAATACAAGCCTCCACTGTGAAAATACTCCACAACAAACATTTACCATATATTTAATTTTTTTACTTGCTTGATTTTGATATTTCCAAATCATAGTTAAAAAAAAATATTACGTTAAAAATGTTATTCTAGGATGATATTTTCCAGGCAGCTTCGAGCAAACTTGCTGGTTGCTTAATATTACATCAATTCCATCAATCTTATAGCAATGGTGAGTAAACTACTTTTCTGAACTTTCATGGCGAGCCACCGGTATAAGAAATACTTGAATAATAAACATGCAGAAACATTACTCTTAACATTGACAATTTATAGTAACCAATAACCAACAACTGATACATCGGGAGGGATGAAAATCGCGTCATTTATGCGTCAGACGGTAAAGTGAATCCACTAACCTAATTTGCGTCGGTTACTATAAAATGATCTATTAACCTAGTTGTCTTTCGAAACCTTCATGAAGATTCAATGAAAGGAACAAATTGTCGCAGATCTTCATTGGACATTAATTAAAATTGGAAAAAAGAAAAAAGAGTTTTGACGAAAATCGCGTAATGCACAAAAAAAAAAAAATCTTTGAAATGCTTTCATGGAACGCACACAAGCCCGTAGTTTGATCAACACTGATTTTCATTTTTTTTTTGTCTAATAATATTGATTGAGTTTGTGCCATTTTAGGAATCTTTATATTTATTCAACAAACAAGAAGAGTTGGCTGAAGAGAATGGAATTTGCTGGCATAAAACATCAAATATTCTATATATGATATTAGACATCTTTTAAAATGCATTTTGATAACAGAAGGCATCTCTCTAAGGAAGAAATGTTTTTTTCATATGCCTATTAATTAAGCTCTCCAAATGGCAACTCTCTCTCTCTCTCTCTCTCTCTCTCTCTCTCTATATATATATATATATATATATATATATATATATATATATATATGAACATTGAAGTCAACACTCCAGAGGCAACAGTCTGTTTCATTAGATGCAATCGTCAGGCCGACAATTGCGGCCTGACGATTGCATTTAGCATGAAACAGCCTGTCGCCTCTGAATGTTGACTTCAGTGTTCACTTTTAGATTTATATTTACATACGCTCTATCTCTGATATTGAGCACTTTATCCCATAAATATAGCACAGCATAAAACTATATTTCTTCATATATATATATATATATATATATATATATATATATATATATATATATATTGAACATACTTGAATGAATGCTCTGATCACTACTATCTTGTCAACCGCTATCAACCACACCCGTCCTCATAAGATGCGTTTCATAATTCCTCCTTTCCCTCTTATAGCAATCTCATTCAGTAACACTGGCGTGGCACTTGAGCCTTGTATTGGATGAAATATATATATAAAAAAACGTCAAAACCGTTTCTTAATTTGCTGCATATAAATATTTTTATAAATTTAGTTTATGTTGCATTCCAAGTGACTTAGAATGCAATATATAGCAAGTATATATAAAGGCAAGTATAAGAAAACCTCTGATGACTGCAATCATTCTCATCGAAAGTCCCGATGACTGACTGAAAAATTACGAAACTCTCGAGTCGATCTTCGATAGGTATTCACCATTATTATATCATATTTAACAATATTCATCGCTCTAGTTTAATTTTGAACGATTTACTAGAAGAAATTCAGTTCAATTTGATATACGTTAAATTATATAATTTTACTTATATTAATTGCTAGCATTATTATTTTATTTTATATTTATACATGCTCTCTCTCTTTCTCTCTCTCTCTCTCTCTCTATCTATATATATATATATATATACATATATATATGTATATATATATATATATAGAGATAGATAGATAGATAGATAGATACTTACTCAAGGGCATATATTTCTAGAAATATAAAAGTTGTAAGAACGACTAAATTAGAAAAAGAAGTGTTCACCAACGAATTTAATTGTTTAACATTTGACCCAGGTATATCCAAGACCACTTTGCTCAAGTACAGAACGGGTCAATCTTTACCTTATGACTCTGCTATGAAACGGATCAATTGACTCAAGTACAAAACTGACCAATTTCTACGTTTTGACTGGTATGAACCGGACCACTTGACTCAAGAATAAAATGAACGAATTTTATCTCAAATATAAAATATCTCTTGCGTCTAGCGGAACCACCCTCACTTTGCACAACTATCTTTGGGAAAGGCAAGAAGCTATCTCCAAGCTAACCAGAGTAACCAGTCCTCTTTAGTATTGATTGTCAGCCATTGAAGAAGAATGAAAACTCTGAATTCAAGACCTTGGAGAAGACAAGAAGAAACCATTTTACTATCTTTCCCAAGTTATGCTCAGGGCTTTCACTGCCATGCAGGAGGATTGATATGACAGCAGTTCGGCGCACTTTTCTTTGTTACTAACGAATTTTTTCTGTTTTCTGATACTTTAATTAGCTGCACACTGGATATACACACACCTTTACATGTATATTTCTACACGCGTGTATACCAACGCGCAACTCGATACAATTGTATACCAAGGATTACATGCAAACATTTACTCTTTCATGTGCATAAATATTTGCATGTAATCTTCGCGATGCACATTAATATTCACTCTGAAATAAAGAAGTGCATTCAAAATACATCGATGGAAATACAATGTGAAGAAAAACCGCATTCATAAATGTGAGTTTCAGATGTTATCAAGTAATATTCACACTTGCATTTACTGATATATCGGAAAGCATTTTCATTGAAGCTTCTGCTGACGCACTGATCGATTTTTAAGAAAGAGATCATTATCAATAAAAATCACTAATTGCAAAGTTAATCAGTGTTTAATATACACGGCTTTAAAATTAGATTAATTCTAAATTGAACAGGTGTATCAGATTTTAATCTTTTTCTTTTTTTTTCTTCTCTGGATTTCATTACGTTCCCTGAATAGCTAATTAGACATCCACATCGTTATTAGATGCGTGGTATACACTTCAAGTTCAATTTCAACTTCAGCCGGTACAAGGCCACTGAAGATTACGTTTTATCATCAGTTTCCCTTGAGCCTTGTATTCGGTGAAAAATAATAAAAAAATGTTCATCTTGTTAATTTTTATGGTCAATTATCCATACACAGATGGACTCTTCCAAGTTACAAATACAAGCAGGTATTGCTTTTAGAAAGGTAGTTTTCCAGGAGTCAGCTCTGACAGTTGAAGGGGCTGACCTGGAGTGGCACTTTGATGCCGGTTAGGCATCAGGATATTGTTCCTCCTGGGTTGAACATTCCGAAATTAGGCTAGTTTAGGTTTGTTTTTGAATCTTTAGTTTCTTTTTTCAGTTAACTTAGCTAGGGTATGTATGTCTCATCGGCCCCTTTTATTTCTGTCCCTATTTTTCTTTAGTTTAATTCCCCATCCCATCCCTCGTTAGGTGGTCAGGGATGTCAGTTCTCTGGTAGATGCGGGGTGCCTTTCGTTTCGCGTGTGTGTTTTCGTATTTGTTGTTGTGTTTGAACGAATGCGTGTATATGTGAGTGCTTGGGATGAATAAATGTTTTATACTATTATAATCCTGCATCGATTTCATTCAGTTAATTGATGTTTCTGCCACGTTTAAGGATTGGGTGGGGGTGTTATTACTGACATTATTTGGTTTAGTTTTCTTGTAAAATATTTTGTCCATATTATGCATACTCATTGGGGATTTTTAAATTGTTGTTTTATTACCCCTCCCAACAGACAATGAATTGTACATATGGGGACTATTTAGCATTTTCATAGAGACAATGACGCATTATGGTGGACGTAGTAAGAAAGGTATGTAAGAATGTGTAGCTTTGGCGTTAGAACTAGTGTTTGTATGTTTGGGTCAGTGTTTGTGGCTAGCTAAGTTTAAAGTTAAGACACAAGTGAACCGTCCTTTTTCCCAATCCCCATTTTGGCCTTGTGCCACATTTTGTATCATAGTACGAATAAATATTGTAAGCTCTAACAGTCGGACTTAACATTCTTGATCGTTTGTATATGATTGTATTACTGTTTTTCTGTTAATATGTTTGGTAACTCAATTCTTCTCTTTGTGTCTTTATTTCTGGCCCCAACAAGCCCACAACATTAATGACCAAACATTCTGTCTCATTGATAATTAGTACTTTTTTCTTTTAACCAATTCCCAAGAGGATGCTTCCTCGATCACTACAATCTTAACTTGTTCTAGTCTATGGTCAATCGTTATCTTCCTCACAAATTCCCATAAAACTGTGCCTCTTAATTTGTAACCCTCTAACTTGAGTGGCTCTTAGGTCTCGTACAGGCATCATTGTAAAAACAAAAATCCTGAAAAATCTACATTTTGTGTCTGCCATCAAAACAATATCCCCTGCGTGTCTGTGTTGTTTAGACCGTGTACGCCAGTAATAAATCCCATTTGTAGTGTTTAATCCGTTGAGAAGACGTATCCTTGTCATTTGTCAGTTTTTGTGTACTTGCTTACTTCTATTTCTATCCGAATACAGGCTGTTTGTTCCTAATACATATTATGGATGATGTTAATATCTTTCTTGAATAAATCACGTTTTTCTAACGTGAAGAATATGCAGTCGAAATATTTAAAATGTCAAGGTAATCTTAGAAAAAAAATTTGCATCAATTTTTTTTCGTCTTTGAACCAAAGAATGCCACAGTAATTACATTTTCCCTGCATTTAACTTCATT